GGCGGGCCGTGCGTGGGCCCTTGCTCCAGAGCTCCGGCCTACAAGCAGGCAGCGCCCTGGGACTCTCAGTGGTCTCTAAATCTGATGATGTCCGGTTTATCTGTTTTTTTTTTTTTTCTTTTCTGGCTTGTGCTTTTAGTAGCACATTTAGGAAACCATTGTTTAATGCGGGGTCACGAAGATTTACGCCAGTGTTTTCTTCTAACAGTTTTATAGTTTGAGCTCTTACCCAATAAGATTTTTATGTTAAAAGATTATTGGGAACCCTTTTGTCCAGCAGTGTGCGTATAGCAAGTCTCAGGTAAGTGGCCATTGTTTTTATTTTTAAATGATTATTTATCATCTTTACTACAATTAATGTCTCATCATGTCTCCCATCTTTGTGGCTGCCTCTTGTTCGTTCTTGAAAGGTAATGTTGATGTTTTAAATGCATTTCTGGCACAGATGGGGTACAGGGTAGAAGAAGGGGAAGACCTGGTTACCTCCCCACCAGTTTTCTCACATTTTGTATTATGGAAAAGTTAAAAATATTTGACAAGGGAGAATGCTGTCACGCACTCCCAGGCACCACTCCCAGCTTCACGAGTCAGCAACTTGTGGCCACTCACTTCATGTCTACCTCACCTGCTTTTCTCCCTACCCCCTGTACCGGATTGTTTTGAAGAAATCCCAGACATCATATTTAATCTGTAAATGGTTTTAGTATGCATCTCTAAAAATGAATCCCGGGAGGGTCACAGCTTGGACCCTGGGTTGCCGTGGGGTGGGGGATCGTGTCCTGTCCCAGGCGCCAGCAGGAGCATGGGCACAGGCCAGAACAGCCCGGCTGCCCCTCGCCCTGCTGGACGGGCAGGGCCAGGGGAGCCTAGGAGTCTTGGCTCAGGTTTGGCCAGAAGAGTCCAAGAGTTGTAGAAAAATGAGAATCCTTTTCATTTTTGTTTCTTCGCACTCCTTTCCCATCTGCTGTCTCTGGTGCGCAGAGTCATGAACTGAAGGCACACAGCTGTCCTCACCGCCCTCCCCTAAACACACCAGGGAGCAGCCTGGGTAGCAGGAAGGCTGTCCTCCTGTGTAAAATGTCCATTTCCAATAAAGGAGGTGCTCAGAGCATTAACTTCAGCTTGTTTCCAGACAAGAGTAAATGGCAGGGGCAGGATTTGAACTCGGGACTTGTGACGACATTTTTCTCTTAGATAGAGGAATCCCCGTTCCTCACTCCCCACTCACCTCCTGCCTGCAGGACTGCACAGGAAATTGTATCTCTGATGTTCGTCTTGTCCTCATTCGGCTCAGGTTCTCAGTACCAGCCCAGCAGAGGGCCGGGTGCCCCTGTGGGCATCACACCATGGGCCTGGGACATCTGAAAAAGGCCTGGGAGTGCTTGTGCTCTGCGCGGCACCTGGCTGGGCTCTGCCACAGGTGTTTTCCAGCCCTCCCGCTGGCCCTCCTGAGCCGGGGCTGTCAGTTCCTGCTTAAAGCCAGGCTGCCCAGCTCCCAGGATTCCTCTCCGGGTGTGCTGGGTCAGGCAGGCCCCCCAGGGAACGGGTGTTTACCATTCGCCATGGAGATGGATTGTGCCTTTCTTCCTCTGAGTGCTGATAAAATGGTACAGGGTGCGCACCCTTCCCGCAGTTTGTTTGGTAATTCTGAGAGACTTGTGAAAAATGCATGAGGCTTCGATATAGTAGATAAGCTGAAAAGCTTGGAAGGAAGCACTGGTGGATAGCAGGGTGATTGGAAAATCGCTTTGCCCACTCTGTCTCCATCCCAGAAGGGATCGTGTTCGGGAACAACAACTGACGCTTTCGTCCTGGGTCAAAAGCTTTTGGCGCTTGCTTTTCAGATATTTTCCCCTTTGGTTTCATGTAGCCCCTTTTCTGCATAAGTTTGGCTTGAATTCACATGTTAATAACTCTGCGTTCACTCTGCAGAGGTCACTGCCCTAGCACACAAACGTGGAACCAGAATCAGCTTCGCGTTACTCAGCAGCTGAGCCAATGCTTTTCTCGGGGCACTGGGGATGCTGGTGGGGAGGAGGGAGCGTGTCCGTGTTGTGAACGGCCTCAGTTGCTGCGGAGAAGTGGCCATCAGTCCCAGCAAGCGTCTCCAATATTGCCTCCTCTTCCAAGGAAGGTGGGGAGCGTGTGTGGCCCTGCCGTTCCTGCGATGCCTCTAGCAAGCAGCTGTCTGTCTCCTTCTAGAGAAGCTCCCCGCTGCAGCCTTGAAGTCTGTCTGCCTTTACAAACACCACCCCTTGATTTTCTCAGTCAATTTAGACCCTCAGAACGTGAGGCTGCCTTTGCAAGGACCTTAAAGGTCACCTGCAGTAATTGTTCATGTCACAGGTGAGAAGACCGAGACAGCCCAGGGGCTTGCCTGAAGGTGACAGCGAGAATCGATAACTCTGGGTGCCTGGGTTTCTTGGCTTCTGGCCACATAGCCCTCCCACGACCAGGCTACTCCCTGGTGTGTTTAGGGGAGGGGAGTGAGCACAGCCGAGTGCCTTCAATTCGTGACTCGGAGCTTGAATTGGCTGGCCAGGATTACATGCAGATCTGGTGGAGTGGAGCATGGGCATGTGTGCTGCACCCCGCATGATGCCCCGAGCACTGCCAAAGATGGGCAGCTCGAGCGGATGACCTCTTAACATTACGATACTAACGTGATCCCATACATTCGTGTGGGGAGGGTCTCATGCACGACACGCTCTCATGGAAGCAGAGACCAGGTTCAGGAGAACACACTCTGATAAAGGAATGGTGCCAAGAAAGATAGTTGCCCACGGAGAGCCCCCAGACGAGGGGGGGGGGCTCAAGTGCAGGCTCCTATGAGGGTGAGGCCGAGATCGGCGGAGTGGGGAACGGGGAGGGCCGCGTGGCCCGACGGCAGCTCTGGATAAACGCTTCTTTAAGGAAAGCTCGGGGCTGGTCCCCACGCTCTGAGCGGGTAGCAGCCGTGGACTGTACAGGCAGTGGGTCGGGGGTCAAGTCCACGCACCGCCAGTTGTGTCTCTGAGGGGGCAGAGGGAGCATGGAGGCCGCTTCTCTTGCACGCAGGCCCGCAGCACACGTGTGCAGAGAAAGGCACTGCTGAGGCCGGGAGCTGGCAGGTCTTGTGCGATTCACAGGAGCGGGGATGTGAGTCCGTCTCAGATGGTATGCCGGCCGCCACTTAGGGACAGAGGAATTTTTAAACAGTCAGAGAAAAAGATGAAAAGAGCCAATAGCCAGATACTTCAGTGTGAAATACAAAGAGAGAGATTTCAGCCTACAGGTGGATATGAATATTTCTGGCTTTTGTGTTGAGAGCTCTTAAAATGATTACTAGGAACCGAAGTTCACTATAAAAAACTGATTCCAAACGGATCTTTCTTTTTGTGGATAAGGTTTACTAGAAAAGAAGCCTCGTGGGTGTTTTTCCCCAGTCTTTGCTCCCTCACGGACTGGTGCCATGGACCGGGTGGGGGACAGTGGGCGACTTCGGCTGGTGTATTGGTCTCCTAGGGCTGTGGTAACCAAGCATCACAACTCGGTGGCTTAACACAGCAGAAACTGACTCTCTCCCCGTTCCGGAGGCTAACACTGCTAAATTGGGATGTCAGTAGGGCGGTTCCTTCTGGAGGCTCCAGAGGAGAATCTGTTCCCCTCCTAGCTTCTGGCGG